TTTTATGGCCAAAATAGAAGCGTTTAAGTTATGACTTTAAATCTGGTAAGTAGTGGATACCACAATTTTGGTTTTGACTAATTTTAAATCTTGTGTATGCTGATATGAGAAAACTGACCAAATCTTCGAATAAAACTTTATCATACATGATTTACCTTCATCTGCCTTAATTACACATCTTTTTTCTTTTTTCTTTATTTTTGACATTTTCAATTTCAATTTTGAAGTTGCAAAAATACTAATAATTAAATTTTAATGAACATTTTTTAAATTTCATTCTTCTTCATATTAAATCACAAATCCTTCCATCTACAGTTTCTTCACTCACAATAAATCATTAGCAAAACGGAGTATATTTTATCTATGGCAAAACTAAGTCAGCTGTTATAAACTTTAGAAATATTTTTGTGCCTTATCAATAGTCTTTTGAAATATTAAAGAAACTATATCTATACTATAAAAATGTTTAAACAAATAATTTAGCATTAAAGACAGCAGACAAAACTAATATGATTATCAACGCATCAAGGACTAAAAAATGTAATAGCAAATACAGTATAATGTTTCATTGCATCTCTGATTCTACTCTACAAAAATATTAACAAACATCTTAATATACAAACCAGTTCTTTTAATCAGTTCCATCGTCCATTGCCTTTACATTTTCACACTTACCATAAAGTAAACGAGTAAACATAGTAACAGATATTTCATTGATTTTAGAAACAAAAGAACACTGTGTACTGCTTAGTTTTATGATATTTTCCTTGGTTTAATTTAATCAGTGGTGTGGCAAAACACAATAGTAAACTTATCAAATAAAGTAAATGCGAATTGAAATAAAACAAGAACAAAAAAAGATAAAATAAGAGTATTTTGTATTACCATTTGAAAATTAAATATAGTTATACATATACAACAGATTTTAGAACACAAAAATCAACGACGTACAGTTGATTTTTGATGATTATTGATGATATTTTTGAGTTTAATTTAAGCATAGGTTTAGCAAAACACAATAACTAAATTTACCTAAATATACATATAAAAAAAAAACAATGTGATGTGCAAGTTATGTTAAGTTAATCTAACTTATGTTAAGCAGTTCAAATTTATTTAAAGTAGCCTCCAAATTCATACAAAATATCTATACATTTTAATTTTCTTACTGTTTCCATGACAAATATATCAATAACATTATTTTCATGACAATTTAAAAATCGAAAGCAGAGCCTGTGTTGATACAGCAGTGCTTTTAGAATATATGTTTTATTTATATAATCATTGACATAGTTTTTGAATAAATCATCTTTGATAAATTTATAGATTAAATAAATCAACCACATAATTGTGTGATATATTATATTTAACTTCATTGGATCAGCTGTCTTAAATTGTAAAATAATGCAATTTGGCAGTTGTTCTTCTTGTTTACCTACATTGAAATGTCTAAGCAAATGTAAATGTAAACATTGTGAGTATTCTTATTGCAGCCATGGAGACCAATCAATATTTACTTTTAAAATCCTCAACTCAGGACCTTTAAAGCCAAAGGGGCGAAGCCCACGGTCGGTATCGAAATTTGAATAGTCCTATAATAGTCCTTGGTATGGTAGCTATATTTTTGTAAAATTTAAACCCAGTTGGTTCAGTAGTTTTTGCACCTATTAGTAATACACATACAGACAGACACCATTAGATTTTTATATAATAGTATAGAAGATAAGGATTCGTTATGATATTTTATGTTGCCGTATGAAGTATAACCTCTAAATGTAAGTTTTCTCGAACAGTAAATATCGCCAACATTTCAGGTTAATGGTGAACAACAACATCCAGAGTTCATAGCTCATGTCGAACTTGTCTGTTCACTGAGGAAGCATCCGCAGGTTTTTGCTTGTATAGCTCGCTCAATTGCTGTTACTGTTAAGTCATACCACATACTATTGACCATGGTCTATAGTCTGTAGTCATACACTCACTCCCCTTACTAGAATAACTACAAAACGTTTTCAAACGAATGTCTGAACTCTAAAGGCTGTTGCGGCGAGTCGTACGAGGTACGACATGACGTCACCGGATCTATTACAGTTGATAATTAGGGGTTGGTGCGAAGCTGAAAACATTGCGCTGTCTTAAACGTGACGCGTGGTAAGGTTCAAGGACCAAGGAGATCCTTGACCTTCAGGGTCTCCGCAATCTGCAATTGAGGTCTTCTTGACACGACATTGTCCTCAGCTACCGGGGTTACCGCATCTAGCAACCACCGAAAAGTTGATGAAGGAGGACCATTATACCTCTAACATCCTCGAGAATATTTTGAATATCGTAAACAATCGTTGTAGAATAATATTCCAAAAATAACTTTAGAATAATCTCTCCATTAGGCCTATGTTTTATGTTTTTCTTAAATTTATGTCCAAGCAAAAATTAAACGTAACGTCTCAAATTTAAAAACTAAACGGTTATAAAAATTCAAAATTCAAAATGTGTTTGACAAGTAAAAATTAATGCAACCCCAAAACTTTCTATAAACAGTAGGCTTAATTTAGTTTAAGATAATGACAAAATGATAAAACATTATTATAAAAAAAAAGTTGATACGTTGTGTAAATTGTTAAATAGACAAATGTGACAAATATTCTATGCCCCGGTACTGTAAAGAAAACGTAAAGAAAAAGAATGCAGACCAGCAACTAAAGGTTGCAAAAATAGGAATTTAAAATGAAGAAAGCAAAAACAATCTACAACAAATTTCAGATAAGGAAGGTGCCTATAACTTAGAACCCTGTAAGATGTCGAACAAAGATTATTGCAGTAAAGATAGTATACAACGCAAAGTCAATAAATATATTATATTGAAAATAAGACAAAACTGTGTACGTCATAACTACTTTATGAACGTTTTGATTTTATGTTCGATAAAATAAATGACGGTATATGAACTATTAAAACAAACTTATGCACATTCACTACTTAACTACGTCACTCTAAGTAATACTTGAAGGGATTTTGTACATGGTTATCCATTTTTATAGTCAGTGTGTGTACCTAAGTAATTAGGCCTTTTACGATCTTACCAATTTTCTATTGGCCCGAAATCGAGTAGTTCAACCTCAGCCTATGGTTTCATAGTTTTAACGAATTTCCCTTTTAGCCTATTACCGTAGGTTTAATGGTAAAACCTAGACCTGGAGCCGATTTACGTTTTAGTTTTGATGTCTCCATAGGCCAACAACACAATCCGTTGACATTTATACATATGTGTAAGGGCGTTGGCACGATAACTCGAGTACAAATTATCCGATTTCCCTAAATAGTTTAGTATATTGAAGTGTTGTGGTACTCCTAAATGGTTACGTAAAAAATACAATACCCCCGCCGCAGCAAACCTGCTGACTAAGCAAATTTTCATTTGTCTGAATTGATTTAGGCCTACGATTAAATCTATTTAAATATATCATTAGGTTTAAGGAGTACCTAGGTTTGCTGCTACAAGGAACCTCATAAATTGTATTTTTAATAAAATAATAATAGCTTAGTATAAAATAAATAAATTTGCCATGTTTGATCAAAACATATCCATAAACAAGCAAGCTACAGCATTTTACAATATTCTCCATAAAAATAAAATGGGAATTTAAAATTTACAATTTTTTGAATTTTTTCCGTTACCAATAACCGTAAAAAACACTTTGATATACCGTGCTAAATTATTTGTTTTTTATGCTCTTTAAAAAGGTGTAATGATAAATTTGGAAATTTTGTGTTTAGAGTGTCAAAATTGAGAAAACCCATTTTTACCCCATAAAATCCCCCGTAAAACCCCGTTCCCATAGTCCGATTATTCTGGTTCGCGAACTCATCCAAGTTTACCCCACCGTACTCCTTTAAACAAAATTTCATCAAAATCGGACGAAAATTACTCAAGTTATCGCGTTCACAGACGTATATATATAGCCTACATGTATACAAATTTGAACGAATTGTGTTTTTGGCCTCTGGGGACATCAAAATGAAAAAGTAAATCGGTCCCGGGCCTAGGTCTTACCATGCCACCGACGGTAATAACTACTGCCCTATAGGGAAATTAGCTAAAAACTATTGCATACTAAAAATGCTCGTGTTTTTCTTATGGGGAATCAATAAACTGGTTTTAGTTTGCTTGTTTAGAGTTATATTTTAATCAAATTTGACAGATTCGTTTATTTTATGCAAAGCATTTAAATAAAAACATCGTTCATTACATTCCCAGCAGCACCAATCCAAAGTTCTCATTAAAATTCATGTTATTTAAATGGAAAATGAACCTGGAAATTTTAGGGGGATATTTTATTGAAAATTGAACCAGGTAAATATAAAAACACTTAGCCAGTAGGTTTGCTGTGGCGGGTTTGTTGATTCTTTGCCCTGTAACGTAGACGAGATAATGTTATACTATTGTGGCATGGGCGCTGGGCGAAAGCAACGAATCTTTAGGACTCACAAGATAGGTACATACAATTAGTTACTAAATTCTTATCACAACAAATAAATAATTACAATTTAGAATCCCCAAAGGATGGGTGTATTTTCTTTTCTTTGACCTTATCAGTTATCACAATGCTTAGCTCCCTCTCAATTTTCCTCAATGGTGCTTTCCTGAAAAGCACCTTTAAACTCTGCCTAATTAATCTTTCAGTTTACATTATTGTTTGAACGATGTTATTTCATAAAATGTGAAATCCAAACTGCGATAGGTCATAAATAGATACAGAGTTACAACGTTTGTTAAAATTACTGTAGTTTTTTTAGGATTGGAAATAAATTGACTAACTAAACAAATCATAGTTCTAATTGTCCAAATATTGTCAATACAGAACAGAATGACTCATGTGAGAACGAGAACGGATTACAAGAGAAACACAGTGACAATGGGGATGACGAAAGGTTGGCCGGAGGGGGGGGGGGTCAGAGTGTGAGGAGAGGAAAGGGAGGATAGCTTATCAAACACTATCTTCATCTTCTGTCCTTCTCTATTACGTGGTATAAAACCTGCATCTCGCCGTACATCTGTAGTCTGTGCTTGCCCAAGTAGGATACCACCACAAGGTAGGAACTTATCATAATGACATCAGAAATATTCTAGGGTAGTTTTAATCAATCAATATTTATAGCTATTATTTTTTGCTCGTATTCTTATGCATGGATTTATTTCCCCTTACATATAAAATACCCCCGCCGCAGCAAACCTGCAGACTAAGCGAATTTCCATTTGACTGGTTGGATTTACACTGAAATGTCTACTTAAAAATATAACATTTATTCTTGATTTAAATAGAATTAGTTTAAAAAGTACTTAGGTTTGCTGCATCAGGGAGGGTAAAAATGTTGTTTTTTTTTGTAAAATGTGAATATTTAGTAAGAAATAAAAACATTTTCCAAATTTGATCAAAATATGTTCACAAACAAGCAAACTACAACAGTTTACTTATTCTCCATAAGAATAACATGGGAATTTTAAATTTACAATTTTTTTGGAATTTCCTCCGTAACCATTAGGCGCATAATAACGCTTCAATATACTAAATTATTTTTTTTTTAAGCTCTACAAAATGGTTTGGAAAGAAATTGCAAAATTTTATTTTTTTTTTTGGGTCAAAAATGGGAAAAACCTATTTTTACCCCATAAAACCCCCCGTAAACCCCCGTTCCCATGGTCCGATCATGCTGGATCGCGAACTCGTTCGAATAAACGTACGTTTACACGTTTGTACCAAATTTCAGCAAAATCGGATCATTTATAAATATATATATATATATATATATATATATATGAATTTGAACGGATGGTGTTTTTGGCCTCTAGGGACCTCAAAACGAAAAAAAAAATCGGTCCCGCGTCCAGGTCTTAACATTTTAAGCATTTTAAAACCTATTCACATGCAAAATCATAAACGTTTGATATTATAAATTCTCTTTAACACGATAGGTGCCAAATTAGCACCCTTGTTACACTGCACTTAAAAATTATAGTCTTTAGCTCTATATACTCATACATTCAAACACAACCCCTGTCACCTATTTTACATACGTTATATTTTTTGATAAGTTTAAACCACTCAAAGACCAATATTTCTCAAAATATTGTAACGTGAAAATTTGGAAAAAAAATGCTTTAAGGCTGCGGGAAATTATTCTCGTGATTATTTTAAATCATCCTAGACTGCGCGCGGGGAAATACGAAACGTCTTAGAAAATGGGAAAAACCCCCCATTTGATTTATTTACTTAATTATATTTGTAGTTTTATTGTGGTGAAAATATGACACGCAAGACTTTATGTATGGTAATGTAAATATATAATGTTTTACTGTTTTTAGGATTGAGTAATTCCATGGCAAATCTCTCAAGGTGATCATATCCGTCTTTATAATATAGTGTCCTTTATAATCATCACAACTATGCAAAACATTCTTTTTTTCCAAGAAAAGAAAACGAAATAACTATGATTTAAGTTCTACCTCTCTTTTCCAGTTCTGTTGTTTTATAAAATTGGCCCCTTCAACAAATAAAAAAGGAACGCATTCAACTATAAACATTAATTACAAATACTGGTATAGTATAACATTTCCGGTTATATCTGTGTCCCCAAACAATGTGTCCCCCGGAGAACGTTAAAATATAAAGCAATTATTGTTAATTTGATCGTGCATAAAAGGTGTAAACATTTTTATTTAAAAACTTGTGTTTTGAATCCATAGAGATTCAAAAATATAGCTTTACACAAATTAACAGTTATTACTGACTATTAAAATTTAACATGGCGATATTTAGCCATATTGCTACAATATTTAGCTTAAGACTTGGGTTCTTAATATTAGCGAATTTCCCTATAGGGAAGTAGCTATTACCGTAGGTCTCATGGTAAGACTTAGGCCCGGGACCGATTTACTTTTTCATTTTGATGTCCCCAGAGGCCAAAAACACCATTCGTTCAAATTTTTATATATGTATATATATATATATATATATATATAGATATATATATAGATTTATATATATATGTGTCCGTGAACATGATAACTTGAGTAATTTTTATCCGATTTTGATGAAATTTGGTTTGAAGGTGTAAGGCGGGATAAACTTGAATGAGTTCGCGATCCAGCATTATCGGACCATGGGAACAGGATTTTATGGGGGGTTTTATGGGGTAAAAATAGGTTTTTCTCACTTTTGACCCTCAAAACACAAAATTTTCCAATTTTTCTCTAAACCTTCTTAAAGAGCTTAAAAAAACAAACAATTCAGTATATCAAAGTGTTTTTGTACGGTTATTGGTTACGGAGAAAACTAAAAAAAAAATTAAATTTAAAATTCCCATGTTATTCTTATGGAGAATATTGTAAAATGTTGTAGTTTGCTTGTTTGTGGATATCTTTTGATCAAACTTGGCAAATATATTCATTTTATACTAAGCAATAATTATTTTACTTAATACACACTATTTATTAGTTTCCTTGTAGCAGCAAACCTAGGTACTCGTTAAACCTAATGTTATTTAAATAGATCAATTGAAAATCAATTCAGCCAAATGGAAATTCGCTTAGACAGCAGGTTTGCTGCGGCGGGGGTATTTTGTTTACACGTTTGGCGGCTTCTTTCGTAAGGGAAGGGTCCAAACATACCTTGACCTTGAGACTATACCTATTACAGTAGTTTTTGATATTTTAAAATTGCTTTTCACTTTCTGTTTTCAAGCCTTTGCTGTGCTGTGTATGTGTAGATGGATATAGTAGCGTGCACAAATGTAGGCGCTGTCGTTAAATGTCTCCAGAAAATAATATTTCGATTTTATAGGCACTATTTATACATAGGTGCTAAATTATAATACCACATTTAATGTTTAAAAAAATAAAAATAAAAGTTATCAAAACAAAAGAAAAGCTCCAGTTTTATTAATAAAATGCTATCAAAATTATTGAACAATAAACTATTGATACAAATATCACACTCTAACATTATAAGTTTTTTTGCGAATTTCCTTATAGGGAAGTAGCTATTACCAAGTGGCACGGTTAGACATAGGCCCGGGACCGATATGATTTTTCTTTTGTATTTGTGTTTGTCCGTGAACGCGATACTCGAGTAACTTTGGACCGATTTTGATGAAATCTGACTTGAAGGTGGAGGGCGAGATGAACTTTAATGTGTCCGTGAACCAGAAGATCGGGTCATGGGAGGGGGTAAATTGGGATTTTGAAAGGTTCAATAATTGGTTTGTTGTTCAAATTTGTACCCTTAAAACATAGAAATGCCTTATTTTCAAGAAGACCATCTTTTTTGTCAAGACCAGAGCTTTAAACAAATTATAGTTTTGTATGTTGAAGCGTTGTTGAACAATTAAAGGTTACAGAGAAAATTAAAATAAACGGTATCAGCATTCTGACACATACTTTCTCCCATAAGTTTGTCAAAAACCTTTATCATGTGTAAGTGGTGAGAGTAAATAACTGTAGGCCTATACGCAAATGGGATTTGTACAATTTTGTTCAGAATTTAAAGGATTATAACATGCTAAATTTTTATCAAAATTGTTGTGGCCATTTTTGGGAAAATCCGATTTTTCTGTTATTTTATGGGGGTTTTATGGTAAAATGACATAATTTACAATAACTTTTGAACCGTAATTTTTACAGAAATGGGATTTGTACCATTTTGTTCAGAATATAAAGGACTATAACATACTAAATCTTTATCAAAATCGTTCGGGCCATTTTTGGGAAAATCATATTTTTTCGTTATTTTATGGGATTTTATGGGAAAATCCCCATTAAAAATAAAAATTTCTAAAAAGTTTTAAAAAACTATCAAAACTGTAAGGACTATAACATACTATGTTAAATCAAAACCGGATTTTTTTCTAAAATCCTATTTTTTGTTATTTTATGGGGTTTTTATGGGAAAATAACATATTTGACCATAACTTTTGAACGGTAATTTTTACAGATATGGGATTTGTACCATTTTATTCAGAATTTAAAGGGCTACAACATACTAAATTTTTATCAAAATCGTTTGGGCCATTTTCGAGAAAATCCGATTTTCCCCGTTTTTTATGGGTTTTTATGGGAAAATCCCCATTAAAAATAAAAATTTCAAAAAAATGAAAAAAACGCCTGGAGATACCATGGATTAGAACCTACATGCCAAATTTCATCGAAATCGGACCACAGGTGTGGTCTCTAGCTCTGTACACATCCAGACACACAGACAGACACACACACACACACACACACACACACACACACACACACACACACACACACACACACACACACACACACACACACACAGACATCACTTCGAAAACCACTTTTTTGGGTTCAGGGGGACCCAAAACGAATATATCCACTCAAAACTCAAACTCAAAAATTTTGACGAAAACAATACTTTCTCCATATACTATGGTATAGGGGGAGAAAGTAAAAGGCACTATACATTAAAATTTCAATGTTATTTTTATGGAAGAAAAGAAAACTGTCGCAGTTTGCTCGTTTATGGGTATATGTTGATCAAATTTGACAAATTTATTTCATCCTGTACTATAACTATTTGGTCAAAATAGTACTTTTAATCATCCCCGTAGCAGCAAACCTAAGAACTCGTTAATATTTCTATTGTAATTGGGGAATAAATATGTCTTGTTTATGGAAATATTTTAGTAAAAATCAAATCAGACAAATATAAATTAGCTTAGCATACAGGTTTGCTGTGGCGGGGGTATTTTCAAGTACGATGATCTAAAAAAAGGTTTACATGTATATGCATAAACATAATATCAACATCGAGTAAATTGGTAACAAACAGAGTGTAATTAAAGTTAGTAATTTATCTTGGTAATATTATCAACGTGTAAAAATGTGGATGTTTGTGAGTTTGTCACATAGGTACGTTCCTTCGCAACAAAACTGGGCCAATTTACCTGACCTTTTGCAGAGAGAGGTCCAACATACTACGAGATGGACTATTTTAATTTTGAAACTCTTTTAGGGCTGCCCATCCCACTGACTTCCAAAGTTGTCATATGTTATTCTTGTGATAAACTTACTA